GGTCACACAGAAGGGATGCAGAGAGTCCTGCAGCCTCCTCAGACACAAGGAATTCACCCAGGAGCCCACCCAGGGCTGCTGCCAGCGGGGCAGGTGGCAGTGTTGGTGGGGGACTGATGCAGCAGGGAGCTGGATTGTTGCCAGGCTGCCTGAGGGGCTGTGCTCCATGGGTTTCTGATATCCCAAAATGTAACAGAAGCAATGGAGCTTGAATCCTGCTCCCTTCCCCATCATTGCCAACCCCTCCAGTTCAGTTGGCAGCAACAGCACTGGCTTTCTGTAAGCTCATTTCTACAACTTTGCTCTTGACATTACTAGGCAGTAAGCATAGATTTTCAGGGGAATATTCCTATAGATTATGTGTTTATGTCCTCTTTTCTGGTCTTTTTGAAATAAAGAATGAGTTGCTTTGACTATGGTGAGAAGAATTTAGGTTTGGTTCAGAGTTTCACTGTGTACCATTTGTGTTCCCAAAAGTTTTGCTTCAAGGTACTGTCCCAGTCTCCTCTGCTGGAACAGCAGATGAGGAAAAAGATGTGAGCATGTTAAATTTAGGATACTTGTAAACCTTCACATGCCACTGCTGTGGCAAACCTGCTTTTTACTAGGTAGTATAATGTTAGAAAGTGCAGATGAATTGTTTTGCAGCTGGAAAAGGGGAAATACCAGTGTTGCTATGGAAAGTTCTTGAAAGACTTTCACTACCCTGTTGTCCTGGACATCCATACCAAAATGTTGAATTTAGAACAGGGGAAATGCAGAGAGGGCATTCCCAAAAGAACAGACACACAAAGTCTGTTCTGTGAGAGGCAGCTTAACAGTTTTACTCCTTTAGCTCCACAAAAGAAAGCTGGGAGTTGGTACGATTACTCTTGGAAAATATATCCACAAAGTAAAAACCACAGAGGAGGAAGGGACAGCACAAAACCAGTTGTTTGTAAACTGGCAAGAGATAAGTTTGAGGCAGTTTTCTGGCCAGCAGAGAAGCTGGGTTGTGGAACAAGCTCACAGAAGTGTCAGACACAGGTTTTGGTGGACTTAAGAAGCACCAAAGGTCCAGCAGCATGTGGGCACTGTCTCATCCCATTTGTTTCAGTCTCAGCCTGCTGTAAAACCGTGCTGGCTCCATGGGCTCTGCTGGGTTTTAACCACACCAAAATTTTTATCAAATGGCTCGTACTCTCAGTTGTGAAGTTCATTAATTTTAGATCTCTTTGAAGTGAATAGGAGAGAAGATTCTGACTTTGCTGTCTGAATGGCAAGTACTGGATCAGAAGGGCATGTCTCAGCTTTTAGGAAGAAGAAAACTTTGTGTAGTTGGAACTTTAAAAGTTGGCACTAGAAAATCTGGGTTTTTTGAAAGGTGACAGGGAAGAGTGTTCTTTTTAAATTTTCTAGCTTAGGCTTATAGCCAAGCTTTAAACTTGAAAAAATAAAATAATGTTACACAATGTGTGACAAAGGTGCAGTGGTTACAGTGCCATAATTCTATAGAAAATCTCTTCCATTATGTTAATGGAAATATGTATTTTTATTTGCAATATAGATGTTTTCCATTATCTTTTTTTCTCAGTAATCAAGATATGCACATAGTGAAAGCTCTGAGTGAAATGCATGATGAGAGACCATTGAAGATATATATTTCATTTCGGAGAAAAACACAGACAATTAACTATATACTGAGTTCAGTATTGTGTCTAAGAAATGTGTTACTCCTAATGAGACTACTTCTTACACTACCAGAGACACTCTTGTAGTTTCATTAGTGAAAAAACTTCTGAGTGTTAATTATAAGAGCATAGTAATGAGTCACAAAGTAAAGAAAAACTAAAGGGCTGTTACATATAACAAAACTTTCTGCTGTCACCACCTGTTCTGCTGAGGTATCAAATACACTGTCATAACTACGTGTAGAAACACTTCAAATTTAGCAAAATCATCATTAAAAACTGGAAAATGGCAAAATTTAAGTCTTTCTACCCAGGTGTACTTGTATTCTTCATGCATATGCTTTTCATAATCTCTCAGCACGTTTTCCATAGGCCCCTTGCCTTTTTGAGTGCCAAGGGTGAACAGTTCTCCCAAAAAGCTGCTCAGCACCTTGTGACACACATCCTGTGCTGTGTGGCACCAGCCTGATTTGTTTCTCGCTGCTCAAACCGTCTCAGAAGAGCAATAGTTCCCTCATAGACTTTTCTGTCTCATTTATCACCACTGTCTCTGAGGGCTTCACAATGACTAATTAATTTAACTTGCCAAAGTCTTGTGAGATAAGGGTTGGCATTTAATTGAGGCACACACAGATGAAGGTCAAAAGTATCCTCTAACTTGGAGGTGTGCTGCTGAGGTGCTCTGAACATGGTGTTTAAAACAGTAAAGCTTTTAATGTTCAAATTACAAATTAGTCATCTCTGTTGCAATAAATAGTGCTCAACATTTCTGTCAATCAGAACCTGAGCTCAGGACAGATGTCTAGAAAATAACAAATGAATGGCAATGAAAAATTTGGTTAAAGTGCCTCACTTAATGAGAGGAGGACGGGAAACCTTTGGCAGATGCAGAGCCATAATGTGATTTTCTGAGGCAACATTTAACATTTAGAATGTGTTTTCTTTTCCAGCAACTCCCCTGCCTCATTTTCTAAGATCACCACCTCCAAATTCAAGAATGGTCCATTTCTGTGAGAAGATCAAGCAAAGGCAGCAGGAGGCCCACATCAATGGACAACTCAGCCATAAAACAGATACATGCAAGGTATGGAAGCAGAGATAGCTGCTTTTTAGAGAATGTTTGTGAAAGCAATAAATGAATTCAAGGATAATCAAAAAGCCACAATTTTTTTTAAAGAAGACAGTGAATTTGTAGTTTAAATTATTTCTGAGGTACTGTTTACATGTAAACAAATATATAAATAATAAGTGTTGTATTAGTGGAAAAACAAGATTTTTAGGTTGTTGTTCAATGGCTGACAAGAATGAAGCCAACTGAAATGTATTTTTAACCAGAGGATAAATCTTGTTTGAAGGCTTTATAAAGGAACCTTATAAATATAGACCAAAAACCTGGATTTATTTTATGTACTCCAGGCTTTGCTCTGGCTTCTGATCACAAGAAAACTGATGTAAATCTGTAATATCTCCTTTGAAACCAACTAAGGTTTTCAGAATTTATGCTCCTAAATCCAAGAGAAGAATTTAACCCAAGGGCCCCAAGCCAGTTTTATTGAGCAGGAGACATTTGGTCTGGCTGCAGGGGGCAGAGGCCGTGGCAGTTGGCCAGTTTTCCTCCCCAAGAAGTGATGTCAGACTAGGCAGTAGATCCCTCTGGGCATCAGACAGCATGGGAAGTAGCCAAACTCTCTTCTGAATGGGAGCTGCTCAAGTGAGCCAGCTGGCATCTCTTCCAGAAGGCTCAGGGGACGTGGCCACCACCTAAAAGTGCCTTACTGGTTGTTGGCCTCTTGTTTCAGGGCTCCTGTGACTTGCTCTCAATCCTCATTCTTTTTGTAACATAATGTAATTTAATTTATGACCACAAAAAGTGCAACAAGAAAGGGAAAAGATGAAAAATATTATGCTAAATACAAGCAGTCGCATACTTGAAAATGTAAACATCAAACTATTCCCTAGATATGTAATTACAGGCAGCTTCAAAGAGGGGAAGGCACATTTTTTTGCAAATATATCATATTTTGTATATGCTGCTTTTGCCTGAAAGACTGTCTGGTTTTCTGCAGGAGCACAGCAAACTGCTTTTAAAGGGATCATCAACCAGAGTTGGTGGCTAATCACTTGGTGATCCCATGAGACACACAGAGGCATGACATGGAACAGGAAATTAAAACACAAAAGCAAATGTTGCACATCTCCAGCAAGCTCCTCTTCCTTTCCCAAGGCGCTGAGGGATGATGTACCAACCCACACATTGGAGTGTGGATAACAGGAGGAGCCTTCCTCTGACACATTCTCCCTTCCCAGCTCTATGAAATCAGTGCTGGAACAAACATCAGGAGGTTACACGTCTGCTCCTGCTCCATGGTGTCTAGTACCAGACAGGGAGTAGAAAGGATGTGCTGGAAGGCTGATTTTATAGCACCAGCTGTGAAAAAATGCCCTTAACAGGTTCCCATCCCAACCACTGCTGCAGGAACTGCACTGGGCTGCTGTAAATATCCCCTCCTTTGACCTCTGCTCTCAGTCAGATCCCAAAGTCCTCTGTCTCCAGAGAGACACACATGGCCCCAAGAACCCCCATGTCTCCCTCCACATGTCTGGACTACACTGCCAGAGCGAGCCCATAGTCTTTCACTGGCAGGTGAGTTATCGAAGTATCCACTGCTCCCACTGCTCCCAGGGGATGCTCCCAAGTGGCCTCTCTGCGGGGCAGCTCCAGTTTTCACAGCATGAAATTACCTTTCAAACTCCCACTCGTTGCCTCCTTCTAACAGTCTTAATCCTCTCCCACGGGAAGGAAAGGCATTCTGGATGGGGGGCTGTGGGGACTCCCTGCATCACTCTCTAAGATCTGTAGCCCATCCTTAGGAGCAGAGCTGGGCTGCTGTTCAGAGCTCTGGTGGAGGACAGTAAACAGGAGGGACATGGCTGTGTCCCTGTCCCAGTGTGCTGCCTTGGGCTGGTCCATGTGAAACCCAGGGTATTTTTTAATTTTTTTTTTATTATTTCCTAAAACATTTTTCACCTCAAGTAAAAGAGCACAAAAAGCTCAATACTGGCTGAGATCTAAAATGTTTGACTTGTGTGTTCTTTCTAAGCAGCTTTCACTTTGTGAAACGTGTCAGCCTGCTGGTGAGGAAGAGCAGATCCTTCCTCCTTTGGTACTCTTTGTACAAGCTAAAAAGAAACTTGACCAAAATAAGGAGGAGAAGTTCCAGTGGATTCTTTGTGGGCGGAAAGAATATGTTTATAATTTCAATTTAGAAATTGAAACATTTCTTATTTAATGTTTCTAAACTTTTTTCCTTAGATAAATGGAGGGGAAGAAAAGCCAGAATGCCAATGAGGATACAATAAAAAACTCTGATAGCACAAGAATATGCTGAGACCAGCTCTCATTTGAGCTCTGTGTTCATCTCTGGACAACACAAGGAGGGTCACAGAGTCTGGGGATCTCTCTGTGAGTAATTTAAACTCATGTTTAAGTCTCTCTTGTCTCTTGCAAACCATTTTACCTCTGGCAAATAGTTTCTGGTGTCCTAATTCCAAAACACTCATTTGTTATGGCCTCTGTAATGGTGTTGGATTCAGAATGAGTGTGAGGTTCTATGGGGCTGCATTGGATTTGGCTGATACTTGAAAGCAAAGGGTTTAACTTAAAACCAGCAAAACTGTTTCCTTAGATTGTGGAAGAGAAACAATACAACTTCACTGCTTACATGTTGGGAATGCATCCTCAATCACTACTTTTAAAAGTTAGCAAATGGAGTATGTTAGCAAGAATCAAATCCTTGGCATAACACAGCACTTATCTCTTTTCAATATTTGTTTCCATTAAATGACTGACCTTCATTTTTTTCCTTCTTTTGTAGGCAACAGTAGAGCAACACCAACATTTTACATTTCAGACAAGGGAATCAGATTATTTTTTATTGCTACCCCAAGACATTTGTTGTGCAAAGAACCTACAGGTAAGTTTTATAGCAGATGAAATTAGTACAAATAAGCCACAGGGCTGAAAGGCAGAAAACTGTAGAGGTAATGAATGAAATATTATATGAGAGTATCCAGTGCCAGACATACTAAAAATTCATCTTGCTGAAATACAGATTTTCTTAAAAATATTTAGCATGAATTAATGTGAATCTATATGTGCAGTTGGCTAAAATCCCTGCACTTTTTACAAGGGCACTGTCATGTAAACAGAAAAACATATGGTAGAGAAATATATCAACACAGGAAAATAAAATACTTACAGTAGCACATAGATTTCTTCTTTCAACATAACTAAATTTGATTTGCTTTTTAGGTAATATTTGATGTTTTTCTACTTTTTTTTGTCAACTGGCGGATCAGTTGATTATTTCCCAATAGTTAAATGCTAAGACTCATTAGACAATTGATGAGTTGGAAAGTAGGGTCTTCTTCCCTTGTACCTCACAGTGTTTGTCTGACAGAGTCCCTTCTGTGAGAATTTAACAAACAAATATTTCAAAACAGGAGAAGAGACAAAAAGGGAGACATCTTAAACCAAATACAGCCAAGTAGGTGCAGTCTGGAGTATTCTATTGCAAGGATTAAAAGTGTGCATATGGTTTCTTTAAAGCCTAGTTCTAGGGCATTATTATTACAATGAGTGCAGAGAACTATTATGAATTAAAACAGCATTAAAAACTGAAAGCCTCCAACATCAATATCTGCTGCTTGATAAAACACAAACCAGTGATTAAAGTAATGATTGATAAGATGTAACTTCAAAAATCTCATTCCTGAAGATGGAAAAAGCAATGAAGACTCAGTCAATGGCATTACTTCCTGTGGCAGCTGTGGTATTGATTTCTAGCCAGCAGTCAAACTGAGAAAAGCAAAGCCAAAGAATCTGTTGTCATTATTCTTCCTGAACCTCTATGTCATAGTTAGTCTGTCAACTCCAGGGTACACTCCAAAGTTGTATATTTTAATATATATACAATTGTCAAGCTGTACAAATAGCTTTATTTTCTAATGCTCATTTTCCTTTTCTTTAATTGTGAGACAACTAATCTCTTTTTCACCATCTCGCTGAAGGTATAAATTAACTCCTGGGTGAAATTTGAAGTGTTACAGGGAATTTTAATTTTGTTTTGTTTTTCTTCCTCAAGAATCAAGTTACTTTCAGTAAACAAAGGCATTCTTGATAAAAGATCCTTTGCATTTTTATTTAGGCAAGTGTTGGGGCTGCCTATGTTTGCAATTAAATCCTTATGAATACTCTGCTGGCTAAACATGCTTCTCCAAAGAAATGCAATGAGACATCTCGTGTACATTACAGTCAGCTGTGGACAGCAGTCCTTTCACTAGTTTTGATTAATATGCCACTGTATCCTGGTAAGATTAATGAACTGTGAAGGATATGTGGACACTGTCTCTTCATTTCAAAGAAGGAGTGTGAAGAATTTAAATAAACATAACATTTGGATGGTCTGTTTTACGAGGATCCAATTGACTGTTTCTGCCTTTCCAAAGCCTGTGGGGGTTTTGTTTGCTTGGTTTATAGGTGGGTTTTGAGGCTGCAACTTTTAGGCAGTGGTTATGTTGATCAAGACCGACTACAAGCCATTATTTCAACAGGCAATTAAAATTTACACCAGATGAGCTGATTTGATTTGTATTACCTACCAGGTAGTAGTATGACATTTTAGAGGTGCTTTGAAAAGACAAATTTATTGTAATATGTTTTCTCTGAGAGCTGCTATATAACAGGAGTAAAATAGAAGGGTAAACAAAAAAACCCTCAACCTGAAGTTGAAAAGAAATAAAGTAAAAAGGCCTGGATGCAGCTGTAGCTTTTCTGTTACATAAGAATCATACAGAAATTTTTTATGTCCCTCAATTAATTGTAGGTCTAATACTAAGTTTGTTTTCCACCTGCAATTTTTGGCTTAAGAATTTTTTTGCCATTTGAATCATCCACAGTGCGATCTCCAGTAATTACAGTCAAAATTACCACTGTCAGCCACAGAGAATTAAGTTCATTCAAGGCTAGGAATTGCAATTGTTTCTAATGCTTGTAAGTGACAGAATGTTATAGCCCTACTGATTTTAAAGTTTTGTAAATATGAATGTGCTATTGATTAGAAACATTTTTAACTGATTTTTTTAAAAAATCTCATTTCCGTTGCTTTTTCATTCACTATAATACATGAGTCCCTCTCTGCAGACCTACTTTACATTTTCAAGTATGTAAGCCATGCAAGACTGAAGTATGATGAGGAGCCTGGGGACTGCAATGTTTCTCTCTGTGATCAGTTGTATAGAATTGACCAATAAGCAAAAATTTCTCATCTCTGTAATAACTATTCTTTGCTCTACATGAGCTGAGTGGGCACTGAAAGTTTAGTTGTCACTAGAAAATCAGCACATCCATATCTGGTTGTAGCTATTCCTTTTTATTGCAGCTTTGGTGGAAAGGTTGCTGACTCAGGGATTCAGGGTCCTGAGTTACTCCCCTGCTCTGAGCTGGTGGCTGGGGGTCTCACACAGACATGTATTTACTATTGCAGTATGGGAAGACCAGCCCAAGTGCTTTCCTCCCTAGAAGCTGCATCACAAAGTTTTGGTGCATGGATTTAGTTAATCCAGCTCATTCCCAAAGTTCTAGAATGAGCTTCTGAACAAATCTAATTTCTACCAGTCATTCCTGATCAAATACAGCAAACAGCAGAAGGGGAGAGAGCCCCCAGAAACAGGAAGAAAGGTGTTCCATGTTCAATCTCCGGCAATCAATTCAATAGAGCTAAAATAAGGTTTTGTTTATCAATGTTTTTTAAATTGCTACATTTTAGCTGCACGTGATGATCATCAACCAGAAATCACAAAGCACAGATCACAGCCAGGAGAGAGGTTTAAGGTCACAAGGCACAGGAACATTGGTCAATACCATAACTGCAGCCTTCAGATTAAATATTAAATATATAGGTAAATTCCCTTCCCCAACAGTCAGCAAAATATAATCATGGAGTCAGTGGCATAAATATTTTGAAAGTCTGAGGAAACACCTGTCCTGAATTATCTTATACATTTAAAGGTCAGCTCTCTAGGTAGCGGTGTCAAGGTCACAGAGCAAATCCTTTTTCTGGTCAAAAAGCTGAAAGGAGGAAAGCTGGGCTTTATCAAGCTTAAAATAGCATGGGACTTCCTTTCCTAGAGTATTCTGACAGACTTCTTCTTTTTTTTTTTTTTTAATTCTGCTAACTTTGTAAACATCCTGACATTAAAGGGATCTCAGTTGTCAAATTAGAAATATGTTTGCTATGCACAGTTTTAGGTGAGTTTGCCAGAACAGGTTTAAACCTGCCTTTTTCCCCTCAGGCTGGTGGAACCCCTGGGCCAGTTTTTTGCTATCATCTAGAACTTATTTAGCAAAATAGTACGTGTCACTTAGTCATATATGCAAGCTGTGCCTGATGGGTCAGAGACAGATAAAACCTGGGCACTTATTGCACTTGATGCAAACCTGCCACTCTTAAATTTTCACTCAGTTGTTCTGTGTAATAATATGTATCAATTGTCACATTAAGCCATCAGTGCAAGTTTGGCTCTTCGAAAAACAAGGACAAAATTCTTGCTAACTTCAGCAGAGCTGGGTTTTCAGGCAAAGTGAGTAGAAATCCAATCCAGTGGTGATGCTGATACCCTTGGGGACTGCTCAGGAATAGTGTGAAGAACTCCAAATGGTTCTGTCTGAAAAAAAAATGCTGCTTTCTCTCCTATGTCTGTCCCACAGTATGTTCTTTGTTATCTGTGAATCACCAAACATCCTTTGTGACGTTTATATGGCATAGTTATAAATAACTCTAACACTTGCACATTAAACAGAAGGTGATTTACAAAGTGCTGCTCACTCTGACAGCTGTTACTACAGCATAGTCAGAGTAGATTACTTGCAAGTTTATTTTAATTATAGATAGGCCTACACTGAAATACTACAGTCACCTATTCTGTACCAGGACTGAAAGATAGTGGTAAATAATAGAATGGGTTTTATTTGCCTGTGTGAAAGATAGAGCACGGGCTTTCATGTATGGAATGTGCTTTCAAGTATCAAATTTTCACCTGGCTCTTTTTAGCAGGTTTCTGATCCAGTGAATCCACAAAGAATTGGTTAGACTTCTATGTAAAATGTACAGGATATTCAGAAAGACACATTTAAAATATCAAACCAAATTTCTACCTTCACAAGGCAAAATTCACCCATCAGTCTAGGGCCACTGACTGTACTTGGGTACTAATGCCAGCAAATTTTTCTTAGAGGAAAAACTGTTATCACTGATAAGTTCTGCATTTGTCCTATGGAAACAAATAATGAAATGCATCAAAACTCCATAATTCAATACTGTAGAAATTGCCTTATAGATGAGGAACTGTCCATAGATCTTGTTTAGGAATTTAGCAGGTGAATTGATTGACTCTTTGCTGGGCTTCTCAATGTCAAGAAGACAATTTTCAAAACTACTAACTCAGAGAACACTTAAGCAAATCCCATGAAGCCATTACATCACCTGAATGATTCAGAATAAGAATGTTACATGATATGGTTCATGATTCTGACCATGTATAGTGACAGTTATGAGACCAAGATTTGAACAGTCTGAATTTTGATCTCTAGAAGATCCTTACTTACAGTAAATACTGAAACTTTTGCAGCAGTCAGAAAAAGTTACATTGTTCTTTCAGGAATATGTAATTGTAATAACCTATCAGAATAATAGGTACTCCAAAAATAGTAATGAAAGACAACTTCAGTATATGCACTGTAATATCTTGCACTCTGGGTTTCCTAAAATAGGTCACTGGCAGAGAATCTCTGGTTCCATATTAAATGGAAAACCTTAATAGAAAGTGCTTCACTTCTCTGAGATTATGTGACCTTCTCACCGAAAATTACTCAATAGTAGTTTCAGATACTATTTTGGGTCATTCTGTATTTGAACAAATGTTGTCATGAAGTAGTTCTTACAGCTGAACAGCACAGCAAGGTTACATGTATGTTCTGCATCCAAACTTCAATCTGTAGCAAGTGCAGTGCAGTGGTTAACAGGTCTATATTAATGTTCTCATGGAAAGCCTGGTCAGTTGTGTCAGTCTCTCAACACCACCGTGGCTCATCAGGGCTGAACTGTTCATCATGTGCCCTCTGCTGTAGCAATGGTCATTATAAATCACTTTCTGCCCCAATGTAGATACAGATGGAATCAATTCATTACTGCTTGCCTGCTCTGGGAATGATCAGCAGTGCAGCACAGCTCAGCAACCCTAATCTCTAGGAACCATCTGGAACCACTAAGACAAACCCTGTCTCCTTGCACAGGGGAGGCCAGAGTTTTGGAAGCCCTTGAGGCACATGGTCTCTCTGAGTTGCCTACAGTTACAACCAGCTGACAGAAAAGCCAGGAACAGGAATTAGGTCTTCAGCATAGCTTGTATTACTTATCCTTTCTATGAAGTGCTGAATGGAATTTTGTGGTATAATGTAGCAGCCAAACTTAGGTTTTGGTGAAAACAAACAATCTCATTGAAGGTAAAAACAGCTCCAGGAAAAAGGAGCTCACTAAAAGCCTAGGCATGATCCTGGATGGGCATAGGATGTCCAAAGAATAGTTGAAGACCATCAGATGGGTGCAAAAGCTTTGGGTTTTAACTCTAGATTTGCCTAGTAAAAGATATAGTTTAGTGTTACATGCTCTGATAAACCTCTGGGTTTTTTGGGATCAAAACTGGATTTTATAAGGTACCCAAATCCTGAAGGATCCAAGTATCTCCAAATGAGAGGAATGCATACCAACACAAATCTGCTCAGATTCACAATTTTAAGGCACTATTTTTAGGACTTTCTGCACATTGCAAAGAGTTGTAATTCTTTATTTTTAGAACCGTAGCTGTTTGCAGTAAGGTAGCATTAGAGTCCCTCAGTAAAACCACTTCCACTGCTATCAAAGTGGCAGTCAAACCTGATCCCAAGCCTGAAGGAAAGGTGTATCTCCCTCAAGTTCGAAGGACTTGCTTTTGAAACCATAGCTGAAAGAAGTCCTTTGTATGTCAAAACTTCCAAATAAAGCTAAATCCTTATTGTGTTTAACTTGGAGAACATTTTTTCAAAGTAATTGTTCATGGAAAGGATGTGGATTTTCAAACCTTATTCACATTTGCAAGTGCTTGCAAAGTCCAGCAACTTTATAGAACAGAATACAGACCTTTGAAACCACCCTTATATTTTAATTTCTTTTCAGGGTCAGTAGCTGAATCCTATTTCTGGTACTAGAACATTTGTTTTCATCTAAAAAGCTTAATACAGGAGAGCTGGAAACTGCATTGTTCTCTTGACTACGAACTTCACCTCACAGGGCCTGTATTTTTTTGCAGCTCACCATTTCATTTCCTCGGAAACTTCTCTGCCACCAGTATCTTTACAAGCAGAAACGGGGATTTTCTGTCACTCAGAAGAGAAAGGGCTGAGGTAAGATCTATTTTAATTCATAAATGGAAGCTTGGATGAGTCTTTCTGAGACAAAGAATTCCAGTTTAGGTCTGCATTTAACACAGTACTTCAAAAGCACGGGTAACATCAAGTGTTTGAGTCAGGCTGTTGGAATCAAAGGAACTGTGAAGAACTTAAAATGCTGCAAATGTGCATCCAACTCACAAAATGTGTGTCTAAAGAATTATTTTATTCTAATACTTCCATGTTTTTGGTAAAAGGATTCAACTGTATGATTCAAATAATCAGAAAATTTCATACACGTATATTTCAGTGTTTCAAACATGAAGCCCTGAAAAAACTGGAAGACTTCTTATATCTCATCACTATTCCTCTCTCTGTTTAAAATCCTCAAAAATAAGTGAACCTTCATGAACCCATTTAGCTGATTTCCCTCTTTTCCATGAAAGCAGATGCATCTAGCTCTATAGGTACAACTCCAGCTGCTTGGTTAAGTTAAGACTTTTATTAGGCAGGTTTATTGTTGTCAATAAATATGTGAAAAAGAGCAAGTTTCATCCATAAAGGCTGTGGAAACTACAGGAAGTCATACAAAGGGAATAAACCTCCCACCTTGTGCTTTATTTTAATTTGTTTCATTTTAAGGTTGTTGCCTTAAAAAAATATTTAAAGGGCTCAACATTTTATTTGTCAAATATTGCAATAGAGCAGTGTGTGTGTGGCACGGGGAGCTTGCTGGAACAGACAATGGCTCCTGGAGTACACGGTGTCTTGGCAGGAGTTGATTTGTTCCTGGACACTTTGTGGTGCCAGGAGGGAAGGGGTCCAGCTCCAAGTAAACCTGCCTTTAGAAATTACTGATGCACAGACCTTGTGCTGGCCATCAGCACAAGAGAGCAGTGAATGCCATCTCAATGCCATTTTTCTTTTTCACACAATATTTGAGATTAATAGGAGTTCTGTCCAAGTGAGGTACAGCTTCCCTAGTAGGTTAAGATCTGCCACTTCTGTTTATGTTGCCTTTTAATTGGTCTCTTCTATGCTTAGAAGTTCAAAGAAAATTTTACAGATACTAGCTGGCAGAGAGAGAGGGAGAGAAAGTATTTAATTTCAAGATCTGGTTGGGTTTTAGGCTACTTTTTTAACTCTCACTCTACATGATGCAATTGCTTTCAGGCTTTCCTTCATGCTAAAGCATGACATCTATTAATTGGAGTGACATAATGCAAATGATTAATTGGGTCCTGGTCAAACCTTGTGAAATGCTGAGCACCAAAAAGCAGTGGAAAGGAAGGGTGGTTGGCAATTTCAGGCCTATTTCCTGTATCTTTTCCTAAGTAATTCCTAAGCAAATTGCATCTGTTAGTAGGTAGGCAATGGCAACCAGAGGGGGGGGGTTTCTTAGCTTGTTTCAGGGATTTTTTTAAGGGTTATTATAAGACCTATCTTGGCCCAAGGTTGGTAGCTTGAAAATTTACTGGCATCTTTTCTTTCAGCAAATTGAACTCAGAATTTGGAACTAACCTTGGTATCAGGAGTTTCCAAGTAATTGATAAATGAGTATCAAACTGCCTTTGCTTGGCAATCAAGAAATGTAGAGGCAATTATTGTCTTTTTAAAGACATAACAATAATGGACTCTTTGCTCATAATTACAGTGTCAAGGTCATCAGAATCTGAAAGGAAATCATATACTGCCTCTGCTCTGCTCTCTTCACTATTATAACTTATTATTTCAAATTAGGATGTTCCATATATTTCTTTGAGAAACCACTACATCTCTCTGAAGAAAAAAGCAAAAAAAAGATCTCTACTCCTGATAAGACCTTGAACTGCTTGCAAATCTAATGCTGTATTGGATTATCTTTTTTGTCTCCTTTTTGCTGATTGGAAAGAATCATGTGTTCCTGAATGCCAAGGACAGTTCTGCAAAATTGGCCAAACAAATGAACCAATAACCCCAACCTGTACACTTATCCTCAGTATAAGAAGAGAATAAAGTGAAATGTCTCTGTGTATGCAGAGACAGGGAGAGAGGAAAAAAGTTGGGTTTTTTTTAAATTGTCTTTGACATTTTCAAATAAATAATACTCAAGGAGAAAAAGCAAAACTCTTGCCCTGAAAATAAAATAAAAACCATTTAAATGCCAAATCCTAGTCACCAAACCTTAGTGCTTTAGAGGTTGGATGGCTGACCTTGAGAGAAGCCACGCTGCAGTAACTGGATGTGAGGAGGGAAGGGGCTGGAGCCAGTTATAGGAGGCACACTCAGCCCTGTGGTCACTCCTCTGTGGTGACTGCCAGCCCTGGAGGGCAGTGGAAGCCCCACAACACTCCAGTGTTGCTGGAGTGATGTCCCAGCACCAGCTGCTCCCAGATGGGAGATGTGCTGTCCCTGACTGATTAATTTGGCCCAACGTGCTCTCACGCCTTGAGACACTTCACCAGAAAGCCACAACATCTGCACACAAATTTTTTAAGAGACTAAAATTAACTTGGGATCATTTTAGGCTACTGTAATTATACTTTGTTGGTGGAAAACTGCTTGGACTTCCTTTCTGCTTGAGTGTGACTCCTTCAGATGATCAAACCATGCCAGTAAATGGAGCAGGGCTCAGTCTGGGCCGTGGCATTAGCACCCCACTGTCACAGTGCTCACAGCTTGCACGGTCCCTGCACATCTGCCATGGGCAGCAGCACCAACCAAGTGTCTGGGCATGGCTTGGGGGACAGCACAGGCCACAGACTGCTCCCAACGAGCAGTTTGGATGGTGCCACTGTCTGAGGAGTGAGAACAGTTGGCTGTGTGGACATGGCATCAACCATACCATTGACCTCAAGCCAGAAAATTATTCTCAGTTCATTCTGTTTACTCGTAGAGTTGCAGGCTTAAGGGTTTTGTCTGTGCTGAAAAATTCTGCTTTCCTATTTGGGAGCTTGCCTGCATTTTCCTGCCTCACTTTCTCTGCCACTTCAAACCACAGGGAAATCGTGTTTATCAGTTACTGGTTCATACACTGTCTTTTAGAAACTCGAACGTTTTAGCTCTCTTTGTGCAAATTCTGCTGCATGTTGAGGCCACTCATTCTGTATCATAGGTAGGGTGGTGATTGCTGTCCCACTGGTGTGCCAGGAGAGGAGAGCACAAAGAGCACCACAACATATGTGGGGCATAACTTCCATAATCCCAGAGACCAAGGACTGAAACTTGTATTCAAAACAAGTTTTGAATACAGGAGAAAGACAAGTGAAAAAAGTTTCATTCCTGAATTTAAGAGTAAAAAATAGGCTGCAATTTTAAGAGTTAAAGCATGGAGAATGTCTTCCCTGTGCATCAGGAAGTTCCACGTTTGAATCAGAATCTTCTGCAGAGTATGACACAGGGCTGAGCTTTATGGATATGGTTTTAGTGGGTCAGTAAGAAGAGGGAACCCAGAACCAGAGAAGTAAAACAAAACAACTAATATTTCTAGAATCATTCAGTTTGATCACAGAAAAAAATCTGTTTTTTAAATAAGAAGTGTGGCTTCTCGATATTTTGTTAAGAGCCATTACATGCACTCATAAATCTGTCACAAATTGATTTTCCTTAATTTAATTTTTAAATTAAATTATTTACGCTTTTTATTTAGCATTGCAAGTAGCAAGTGAAAAATAGATTATATTTAAAAATTCAATTAAAAAAAAGCAGTTAAGTGCTTAGTTCTGAAGATTCATGCTTTCATTTTGGAGGAATAGGATTTGGGTTGTTTTAATTTAATTGACAAATTCCAGAACTATCCTTAAAACTACATAAAGCTGTCTTCATTTCTTGACATAAGTGCACAGAAAATATTAACTTCCAGTCTGTATATTGATTCTTTGGTCTGAAAAAAACAGATTAATATTTCATATTATTTACTTCATATATATTTTAATTAAGACTGATACACTAATCAGTCTGCCTCAAATAATCTTCTAAAGTGTCTCATGAATACTGCTTACTTTTCTTTCATAATACTGATATGAAAAAATAATTACATTTCCAAAGCAATATATCTGAATCCACCAGTCATAACACATTTAATAAAAGACAGAAAATCTATGGGCAGGAACATTATTTTCCTTATAATCTGTTATGTTCTTGTTTCCTCCCAGACATGCACCAAGTTAAGTGCAATGCCCAAAGGTTTGATGAAATTAGGCTTTTACCAGAAGATCCAGCTTGAGAACCAAACTCAATTATCCTCAACTGAGCTTTGTTTGACAAGCTATAGTTTTCTCTCTCTAATCAATGCTAAATTTCAACTGTTAGACAAGAGCTGAGGCTCCCACAGGTTGTGGATCCTCACCTGCCTTTGCAAATGAGCAGAGTCATGTGGGGGGAAGTCCAGGGTGAGCAAAGCCCAAAGGGGTGCTATCCCACACAGGGCTTTAGTCAGTGAAGTCACCAAGAATCAGATTGGTGTGGATGATTACAGTCATTTAGTAAAGCTGCCTGTGACACTGAAACATTTCCCTCAAAACAGCCTGATCAGACAGGACACTGGCTGAGAGCCACCAGAGCTCACTGCATGTATTTCACTAATACAGTTAAATACCTGTGAATTTTACAGTATGTCAAATGTATGCACTCCACACTGGAAACATGCCTCCTCCAATTTTTCCTTTGTAGGAAATTTCTGTCACAAAACATTGTATTCAGGACTTAAGCTGTTGCACGGAGTTTTTTTCACCATGAGAAAATCTGTTGAACTTGAATATATTTCTGTCACCTTTAATCTTTGTATAATATTGTACAGACCGTTTACATTTCCCATGTTGCTGTTACAATGATCATCCGAAATAGAAGGTTTTTATTTGTTATGAAGAATTGTATCCATCTGACTGACAGACCCTCACACACTCCAGAAAGCAGAGTTCCCTGTGTGTTTGCATAAGGGATGTAGAAGAGTATCTGTAGTGTTTAACCTCGCTCCTGATGAAAAAATGAGAAGTTATTACATCTATAGTGTATAAGCTACATT